ATGGAGGGCCGCGGGACCATCCGATCGCAGGGCCACACAAACAAAACCGGAAAAAAACAAAAAAGAGGAAATGTATGGGAGAAGCTCCGCAACGAAGCTAAAGAGACGGGGAAACACATGCCTATTTACGCAGAATACACGCCCGGCCGCAGACCGCACTTACTGGAACCAACCGCACCGCAAACTCCTGCGGAGGTGCACCGCACAGCCGCCTGCAGGCACGGACACAAACCTGCGGGGCAGTGGTCCCCGCCGCCCTCAGTCGCCGCTCACGACGCTGTAGATGGTGGCGCACGTGCCGAATACCGCCATCGTGACACCGGCGATGAGCAGGAGGTACGTGAGGGTGTAGTGCATGAATCCAGCCGACCGCAGCGACCAGTTGCCGCCGTACATAATCAGGAGGGCGGGAAGAATGAACCCTGAAATCCCCCCACAGAGAGCACCAATGAGGCCAAACACCGTGTTGATATTTGGGATGAACAGGCCGCAGAGCAGCGAGGCAACCGCGAGACCAACGACGAAGATGCAGTGCTTCCAGAACGGCAGAGCGTCGGGGTCCCACCCGAAACATTGGTAGAGAGAGTTGCGGGTGGCCATGGTGACTGGCGGGTAAGAGGCGCACAGCTTCACCATCACGCCAACGTACGCCGCCATCACCGCCGGCTCCTTCACTGGGTCGTACAGCAGCAGAGCGGAGACGGTTGCACGGCTGCCGAAGTCCAAGTAGCCGAATATGCCTGCCAAGACGTATAGCATAAAGCACAAAAAAATTGCGATGGCGGAGTACAGAGTGAATCGACCCACGCTGCGCTCTTGTGTGTCCCAATACACCTCGAACGCATTGACCTGGCAGGTGAAAGCGAACATGAAGACGCCCAGCCCCTCCAGTGCCTTGTTGCCGGTGCCAACAGGTGGACACTGTCATCGGTGGTGCCTCCGGCGACTGTTATGTGTTTCGCGTTCTCTGCCAGTCCATTCATGGCCGAGTGGAAGATAATCATCACCACGAAGTAGATGACGAAGATAATGCCCACCGTCGAGACGTAGCGCAGCGAGTTGATGTGCCTCGGGATGACGAAGGGCAGCATCACGGCCAGCCAGACCAGGCTTGTCAGCAGGCGGCTGCCTGAGGTCGACTTCCAGTACTTCGGGACGTCCGCGTTACTGAAAATGGCTCTGAAGATGTCCGCCACGCAGATGATGAACGCGACACAGCCACCGAAGGTGTTTAAGGTGCGCACTGCGGCAGTAACGTAGCCTAATACAGGCCCCAGCAGCGTGCGTGACATCCCCTCGTACGTCTTCACCCCAAAGCGCTCCATCTGCAATGCAAGGCAGTAGAGGGAGTAGACGGTGAGGGCCCCAACGATAGCAGAGTACGCGAGCGTCATGACGACGCCGCTGCTGTTGGAGGCGGCGGGGAGTCCGAGGATGCCCGCGCCAATGCATATGGAGGCAAGGTTGAACACGGTGGAGAGCATCCCGCCCGGTGGAATTATAGTTGCGAGCGACGCCGTCACGGACTTTGCCAACCCACGCCGTTCCTTGTGTGCATTGACGTTGGCGATGCAGTCGAGCTTTTCCGTGTCTTCCTCCTGCTTTGCCTCACTGGGCGGCGGTGGCTGGCCCGTTTGTGTCGACGGTGTCGCCTCCCTCGCAGTGCCCTGCAGCAGCGGCTGCGCGCCAGCTTCTT